GAATGGCAGGTTTAAGAGTGGCAGACGGAAATACGGAGTGACAGACAGAAAGACAGGGATATTGACAGACAAATCGGTGGATTCCAGGAATCCTGTTAGAAATTAGCTGTAGTAAGTAGTGTGTTGTCGCTAAGGACTGATGCAGTTGCAATTTTTAGGGAATCCAAGTAGTGCAAACCACTTAATGCTTGAACCGTTACTTTAGTGGGATCTTCGAAGTATCCTACCTTAGATTAAGTCCAATTTCGGAACACGATCGTCTTAAGACTACCCCATATCCAAACAGCATGCCTATCGGAAGGTATCTCAGGTATCGATTTTCTATCCCCCAGCCGAAGTCGTCGCATCGTCGCCCCCCTATCGATCGTGCCGGGCTTTCTCCCCGTGTGCATGCGGGCTGCTCCTTTTGAAAAGATTCCACATGACAACCCATTACACCCACTCCTTTCCGGTCCCGGAGCATGAACGCGAAGGTGTGATTGACATATCGTAGATGCCAGGAGTAAAGGCATATGAAAATAAACCTGGAGGTGGGCTTTCTAGAGCTCTCAATAGTACACGACATGTGTTTCTCAGGGATATCGGTTTGGATTGGTTTTCCACGGCGTTCTCTGAGGTACTAGATTTTCAATCGATACTGACTTGGAGCGTCTATGTCGCTAACCCCCCCTTAAAAACATCCTCCAACTTCCCGATCGATACTTGGAGTCTGGAGCCCAAAGCCCCCTCCCTGTCATCTTCCCTTTAACCCCTCCCCCTTCCCCCCGGTTTCCAATCGATACTTCTCCGTCTCCAGCCCGCCGCCCCCGTAATATTCAGGCGATCACGTGTGCGGGGTGGGGGTGGGCGCCGTCGTGCTGGAGCTGGTCGCAGAGGAGCCGGGCGGGCCGGGTCGTCGCGTCCGGGGCTGCCGCTCTCCCCTCCCCCACCCTCCACGCCGCACCCACTCTCTCGCCTCTGTTGGCAGAGGGCCGAGTGTCGTCGTCTCGGCCGTATGGCGAAAACACGCGCTCGTCGTCGGGGGCTCTCCGATGCGGCTGTGGGTTCTACGATAGGCAATATCCTCTAGGCTTTTGCGCTCTCTCGGGGGGCGATCGTCGGCTGGGTCTCTTCACATCGTTGGCTCTCTGCTTATCTGCGTCTCGGCTAGCTATCTGCTCTCACGCCCTCTCGCCAGGCGTCGCTAACCCCGTGGATTGCGCTGTTGTGGCTGTAGACGTCTGGGTCTCCGCGCCACTCCCACTGTCTCGCGCCCTTTCCCTGGAAGCACCCTCGTGTCTCTGGCCTCTCTATGACATCAACTATCCCTGATCCCTCTCCCGAAGGGTCGACTCTCCCCCACGTTGCCCCTCCTAATTTCCCATAGTCTCTCCACGCCCTCTACCTCTCTACCCTCGTTCTCTGCCCTCTCTCCTCAGTCATCCATCCATCACCCCCTCGCCCAAAAACTCTTACTCTCTCTCTCTCTCTCTCTCTCTCTCTCTCTCTCTCTCTCTCCCTCTACCTCTCTACCCTCTCCCCACTCCCCTCACCCCCATGGCTTGTTTGCGCGCTGCATCGCGGCAGGCAAGAGGATAGAGGCTACGGGGTTGGCGGGGTGCCAAGGCGGGGGCTATGCGCCCTGGGAGTGGCATAGGGGTGGCGGGTTCGGAGTCGCTGGCCGGCTGCCAAAAGCCTCGGGTGTTTGCGCTAGTCGGAGCAGGGGTACCCGAGGGAAAATCGGGAGGGGAGTGGAAAATGGACCCCACCCACCACCCTAGCCCAGAGGCGTAGCGGCTGCCTAGCCCATGGACACCCTGGCGAGTGTGTGTATGTGTGTTTATGAAATGGAATAGTCGGGTCGAGGCGGGGAGAGAGAGAGAGGTGGTCGATAAACAAAATGAAGATGTACGAAAATGGAAATCGATCGATAATGGGTTTTAAAGGGAGCGCGACAGGGCGGAAGTCAGGGACGGGCCTCTTCAATTGACGCTGAAATCGATTGAATTTACGCCCCGCGCTCTGGTTTTCCTTTTTAAAACAGAGAACAATTAATTAGTTCTTAAAGGTATGGAACAGCATGGGGGTATTTTTAAGATACCATTCGCTTAAATTACCGTACCCGAAAGACTTCAAAGGGACTCGGACACTAGGAAAATGCCGGGTTTCCTAAGGCTGAAGTTATAACCCCGGCTAAAAATGTGTCTTTGATCATTTTTGAAAGCTTTTCAGGCGTCTAATTTAACTACAAAAATTGGAGAATGTCGATTCATCGCTCCCAAATTTGGATTTTCGATTTGTCCTGTAAATTTTGCCCTAAAAACTCGGCCAAATCAGCTAAATAGCCCTTTCAAGGGCAGCTAGACCTTTTACTGTACATTTCAGGGTACTCGTTTCTCTCTCTTTCAGCCTTCACGGCATCTTCTCCTCCTTCTCCTCCTTATCGCTCTTCAGATGCGCCGGGGAGGGCAGCGAAGCGCTTTGTTTTCAGTTTTTCCTCGTTTTTCTCGGTCGCCCTGACGAGAAAGAGAGAGAGAAAGAGAGAGAGAAAGAGAGAGAGAGAGAGAGAGAGAGAGAGAGTGAGAGAGAGCGAAACCCTTTGGCTCAGACGGGACCCCCTTGGGGAATGGCGGGTCCAAGGCATCCATTGGCTATGTGGACCGATTTAGGCGAGTCCATTGTATGAAAACTGAAGTCGGCTTCACCGCCCAATCGATTTGCTAATGAAATGGGTGGAGCCTTGCGGAAAAAATGCGTTTTTAATCACGTGAGGTGCATAATAAAAGGCCAGAACTAGAGAGCTAAGGCCGGGTGTCGGCTCCCAAAAGCTGAAACACGACTATTTCAAAGTATTTCTAAACTGTCCGGAGTAGAATTTCCCCCATGCTCTTTAAATTGTCGTCTGTAGTCTGTAGTCCGTAGTCTGTAGTCTACACAAGACAATAGATTTTTTTAGTTTTGTGTTTTCCATGCTCTTTCGCCGTGCTAGTCGGCGATTGTCGCCGCCACGATCAACGACAGCTCGGCCAGCTCGCCCTATTCGCACCACTCATCCGTCCTGTCTGTCCCGCCACCACCACCCTGCCGACCGATCGATAAGGCGTCGCATACTGGCCCGCAGGGAGGCGAGAGAGAGAGAGAGAGAGAGAGCGCGAGAGAGAGAGGGAGAGAGCCGGGTGTATGCAAATGCGAGGGAAGGGAAGCGAGAGAGGGCCAGTCACGTGTCCACACCCCTGCAGAAGACAATGGCCGAGGGGGGGGGGGTCGAACCAGCGACGGCGACCGGCGACACCAGCTCTCTCTCTCTCTCTCTCTCTCTCTCTCTCTCTCTCTCTCGCTATCTCTCTCTCCACCCGACCGACCGTACACCTGGCATCCGGCCAACAGGAAATGGGACAGAGACACCCAGGGGGCGCACCCCAAGCTTCGAACAATGGGCAGCCGGAGGAGACGAAGCTCCCCCAGCCCCCGGCCCGGCCCGGTCTGGGTTGAATATTTGATGCGGAAAAAGTGGGGACAGTCCATGGGTGCATTGTGGAGTTCTAAGGGAATGTGGAAGCAAAGCCAGATCGATTCTCTGGACCAAATCTGAAAGTTGCAAAATGGTGTCAATTGGTGAAATCGGAAGGGTTGTGGACCAGAATTTGAAGGTAAGGGAAAATCCGAATCGTCTCCCAAAAAACGCAGTTCTCAAAGTGAGAAAATACGGATAGCTCGACAGTTCATAGGTGCTTTGCGGAATTAGAGGGATGTTGACGCCAAGCTAGGCCGATTTTCTAGACCAAAACTGGACTGTGTGGTAATTTTGAGAGGGGTACGAAGCACCACTACCGTCCTGTTTTCTTCAAAGTTTCGTTGTAATCCGCTGTCTTTTCAAGGTCCTTGCAACCAGGCGAGCCTCCTCGCAACGCTACAGTAATCCGTTTACCTGCGAAATATTTCAAGCGCTCCAAATCGAGTTGCACCGGGCACATTTGGAGCTCAAAACAAACCTCCAAATTTTCCTAAGCTTAGCACATTCGATTTTGCCCGATATCTTTGACGTTCATTCAAAAACCCTTTGACCCCAGCTGCGCCTTGCAAGCATGAGCTAAAAATGAATTTTGTTAGTTGAGACGGGAACCTTGCGACCCGGCTCCATTTGCTACATGCCAGTTCCTTTAAAGCATGAGCTCGTGCTCAAAATCTATTTTTCTTCCTTGAAAGCGGCCGTGAAAACCATTTTTGAGGTTACTACAATCTTTTCGCTTCTCCTTCCCAGCACCTTTAACGATCATTCCCCTCCAAAATTGAGTAGCAAATTGCCATCCTCCGCCTTTTGCCCCTTGTAACCAATTCCCAGCCTAGGTCGTGTTGAAATTGAAAAATGGGAAAATTTTGGGGAGGGGTTCCAGTTGGGGAGTTGTTTACGTGAATCACATGATTCGCGTTGGGGCCTGTCGCTCTAACTGCATCGGTTAGAGTCCCGCGTGAAATCGCAGGAACATGCTTAAAAAGATGGCATGACGCTATGTAAATAGGGAAATAGCGTACAATCAAAAATATCGAAAAAGCTAGGAACTTCTATTTCTACCAAACCTTTTCGAGTTTTAAGACTTTTAAACATCCGTTTTGAAGATGTTACGGTAAAACTCTGGCTTTTGGAATGTAAAAATTTGTCAAAAATGCTTGCATTTCTAGGATCCGGAAAATAAACATAGCAAGACAGTTCTGATTTTTTGTAAACATTTTATATTAACAGTTCTGATTTTTTGTAAACATTTTTATTTCTTTTTTTTGGTAGTTATTTTTTCGACGGATTACAGGGGGAATCCGGAAATCTGGGCTAGAAGCCGAGGGGCTTTCCAGTTTTTTAGCTATTTCCTTTCCATTCCTACTTGCGAAATCCATCCAGCTTTCCCCATTACCGTAACGCATTTCCTGGACCAGCCCGATGTCTAATGAGTCCGATCCGCCGGCCTCCTCTGCCGCCCCCCATTCCACCGTCATAAACCCGAAAATTACCGTAGCCCCATTACTCAATACCAGGCGGCAATAGGGGCCTTGATCTCACCGCCAAATGGCGTCCTATCAAGCTGGTTTAGAAAATAGTATACCAAAAATTATGTTACCAGGAAATTGTGTTCTAAAAATAGCAAATGCCTTTTTGTCTGGAGCGACTTAATGTAAGGTGCATCGAAGGAGGAAGTTTAAAATACGAGCTAAAACACCCTAGACAACAAGAAGCAATAAAATATGTAAGTGGAGATGGGTATTTATTGACATTGTTAAGGGTTTCTGCAAAAGAGCAGCATGTTTTACCATTGGAACCACCGTGCCGGCGGCTTCTTTTCGCATTTCTTCTTGTTGTCAGGTGGATTTGTGTAGTCGCCTTCACATTTGCACTGAAAGAAAGTTCTAGAATAAGCAAACAGAAATGAATTTCTTAAAAATTAATTCGGCTAATGCAGTTCCGGAAATGAAAAATCAGAATTTTTTCGGAATTCCAAGTACAAAAAGGAAATCTGGGCTAACGGTACAAACCGGGGACCCTGAAGTAGAAGTGTAGCAACACTCAATTTATTTGAATGATATACATGGATATACCCCACCATCCAGTCACAAGTATCGCCTGATTGATCCAGAACGCACTGTTGTTGTCCAGTAACTTTTGGGCAGTTTCGTGTGACTTGGCTGCCAGTACATGGATCCGTCGGCGCTGAAATGTAAATTTAATTAATCAATATTTTCAGATAGATTTTTTGATTACCGCTGGATTTAATCATACATCATACGAGAGCCATCAGCAAGAGGTAATACTTTACTTGACCTGTCCCCCGACCCGTCAGCCGGAAGTTCCCAAAAAAATGCTTAGCTTTCATTTTTTAAATCTATTTTGACCATTAAGTAAAATTCGTCGTGTATTTTTTATGCGCTATCAAATGTGTCTAATGTCAAATGTCAATCAAATGTGTCAAATCAAATATTTTTTGGTAGCTTCGGGCTGAGGGGCGCGGTGCGGTAAAGTAAAGTTACTTTTGAATATTCTCAGCGATTTTTAGCAGCTGGAACCGGGAATCCCACTCCATTCCACTCAAAATGCAAAGCTTAAGCAGAAGAATTTTTAACATTTTTGGCAATGCTATATGGAAATTTTTGAAAAAAATGGGATCCTATGTCGTTTCAGCACCCGCTAAATTGATCAGGTAAATGGCTAAAATTCCAACCCGTGCTAAAAATAAAAACAATACAAACATACTTTCACATTGTGCACCCGAATAGCATGTGGCACATTTACAGTGGGCACTACCGCTGTCCACATAGCACGTCCCGTTATTTTTGCATACAACGTCGGTGCAAAGATTGTCTGAATGTAGCGGTTTTTTTTATAAGAGCTTTAACAGAAGCTTTTCGTCAAGGCTGACTTACATGTCGAATAAATGACGGTAATATTTAGGGCATCAATCGGGGCCGTATCCCAATAATACACATCGACAGCGGTGGTGTTGAGCTTGACCTGCGTGCCATCCATCGGGACGCTGAACAAAATATGGATGGTCTGGTAGCTGATAGCGGCTAATTACTTGGCGAGGTCCTGGTTGGTGCGGGCGTCGAGCAGCTTGACCTTCAAGGTGTCCGTTTTGTTATAGGAAATTCCGAAATATAGTGGATCGGCTGGCGAGCTGACCTGAAATGCGGATTTCAGTTTTTATCTGTATCTCGGTATATATCTCTCTGTCACTCGTCTCGTTTCTCTCTCACGCTCTCTCTCTCTCTCTAACCCTTACCGTAGTACTGCAGTTAAATGGCATGTTGCTGCTATAACTGAAGCTGCTGACGTTGCTGTTCGCCGTCACGTCCCCGATACAAAGCGTCGCCGCTAAATTAAAGGAATTCGGAGGTGAATCTCTCTAATTTTCGTGCCCCTTTCGAATAAAACTCACTTGGAGTGGGCGGGGACGCGCAAGGGCTGGCACGCATACATTTGATTTGACCAAGTACCGTTGCGGCAACTAAAAGGCGGATTTTGAGAAAAATGGCATCATATCGTGGTGATGCCTAAAAACATCTGCTCATATTTTTCTTGTTTTCAACTAAGCCAAACCAGTTGAGACCCGGATTTAATAAATGAGTCACAAATGCATTTTATAGCCATGTTTTTTTGCCCGATTTCCATAAAAATCCTCCAAATTCCGAAATATCGGCCACTTACAGCTGTTGCTGGCCGCAAACTCCGTTTTGGAGTCGTTGATCTCCTTCATCAAGGCGTCACTGTCGAGCGCAATATTTTGAACTGTAATTTGGAGATTTGTCTCGGAAACAGGTAGATGACCAACTCGTCACGTTGTACGCGTTCAGCTGGTCGATCAGACTGTTGTTCTGGCCGTTCACATTGTCGAACAGTGTCGTGATCTTTTGTTTCAGCCTGGAATGGAGAGTTTCGGAATTTTCAGGATCTCTCTCTCTCTCTCTCTCGTTCTCCCTCTCCACCCACCCCATCACCGTGGCGTTCAGGGCGGCAATCTGCTGCAACAGCGTCGTCGGATCGGTGTCGTCGAGCGGAACCGTCCAGAGGACTTGAGTCTAAAACTTGAAATCTCGTGGATTTTTTCGAAGGTTAAATTGACTTCCAGGTCCCTTTAAACACCCAAATTTTTTAGAAATTTTGCTAACAAATTCGGTTCGAATTTAAGAACTTCAGATTGTATTTTTAAACGTTTTCTTAAATTTGCAAACTTACCACGTCCAGCGGCTGCGTCGTGGGTGCTTGGGCTAAAAACAAATCAATTAGATTTTTTTTATGCGCTTACTGGTGACCGTCGATCCGGGACTTGTCGGATTTGATGTCCCACCTGTCTGCGGGGACCCCGCGGACGGCTAAATCAAAAGGTTCAATTTTTTTATAAATCCTACCGTAGATTTTGATGAAGCTGACGACTGTGGTGAAGCAGTGGAGCCAGGGGATGATGTAGAAGCTGATGAAACGGGGGACCCGGAAGTGCCGCTTGCCGTGCTTCCGCCCGTCACCGTCGTGTCCGATGAAACGCCCGAAATCGACTAAATTTTATAAATTTATTTATAGTGATTAATATAGCATTAAACCATGTTCTAAATGCTTATAATTTCGAATGCCTACCGTCCCTGTTGTCGCATCATCGCCAGACGACGTGGAAGCTAAAATGGATTCCATATTGGAGCTTGTCTATAAACTTTGAGTGAATTGAACATTTCAAAAGGCCAAACATATGTATACTTAATAAATCCTAACTGATGATTTCAAACTTAGAAGGGATTAATTTATTAGGTAGTAGAAAACGAGGAGAGTAATTTCGAGGTTCCAGGATACGCTTTTGAGCGCCAGCAGGTTAGAGCATGATCTTGTGCAAAATTTCTTGGTGATTCAGATCCTGTGATCAACACTGCTTAATAAGCAAAAGAAGTTACAGCTTATCTTAGGTTCAAATTCCGAAAAATTGGGCTTGGTCCTGCTTGAAGTTGGGATGTCACCAAAAAAGTATCTTTGTTAGAAATACGGCAGGAATTCACAGCTAAAGGTAATAAAATAGGACTGACGGGAAGTCGCGACGGAGCCTGTTGTGCTTCCGTCCGTCGTGGTAGTCTCCGTGGTCGATACCTTAACATATAACTAGAGTACATACTTCTAGAGTTTTAACTTACAGCACTCATTCGTTAATTGCTGTTCGGATTTTGCTTAAATTCGACCTATTAGAAAGTTTAAATTTCCCGGCATGAAACCCTATAGATTTCCCCCAGCGCCATTCGCAGCGCGGGAACCCCCGTTACATTGTGCAACCAGTTACAAGCCTTTTAAGAAGCACTAGAGACGGTGCGCGTTGCGTGCCGCGCGCGTGGAAAGTCCGAATCCGCGTCCTAAATCGACAGCCAACAGAATGCATTTTTTTCGTTAAAGGGATACTAGATCCGAAATTCTATGAAGATTATGACGGTTTCGAACATTCTGACTTCCGGTGGACTGTAAACGCGCGAAAGCCCCACGCGTAAGAAGCCAGAGCCGAGCGGCAGAGCCCGTTACCGTCCTGCGGTACTCACCGAATTTTGCGCGAAACCACGCTCAAAAAGGGCCACCAAACAAATCAGGGCCAACGCCAGGGCCCATCGCCTCATTGTTGAGGTCTAAATGCTCAAGTTTCTTGATAATTACCGTCTTAAAATTCTATAAAAACATATCGATACAATAAATCTCGAGCAGAATATGGAAGGGCGTCACCCCGCCAGAAGCTTCACACCGGCCATCCAGACCTTATCTTCAATAGCACCCCAAAAATTTTTACAACCCTTTACGACCGATGGCTGCCGGCTGACGATTTATCGTAACTGTTTATGGGTAATAAATTGACGGGTTTCGGGGTGCAAAATGTCAAGGGAGGAGCTGATTATCACAAAAAATGTTCGGGGCTTTAAAGGGACTGGCAAGGGGCGATAGAGCGAGGGTGAGAGAGTGTGAGAGAGGGAGAAAGCGAGAGAAAGAGAGAGAGAGAGAGAGAGCTAGCCAGCGAGCGAGAGTGAGAAAGAGCCAGTCTTGCCCTTAACGGGACGCCGACACCACCGCATAATTTTCGAGATTGGAATTGCCACATATCATAGGAAAAACTGTCGCTTGGCGCATTGGGTAGAGCTACACTTGGCTCCTTACAACGTCTTCACCTCTTATTTCGGCGTTACTTTTAACGCTCGTATTCGATTACGCAATCGAAACGAGTGTGGGGCGTTGCACGACGCGCTTGGAAAGGAATAATAGCCAATAAAATCCATAGCAACGCCTTGCCAGTCCCTTTAATGAAATCCCCCTGGAACGCAAATGTTTCGGCTTGATCAATTGGCGCGTCATCGGCACCTTATCAAAGCCCCCCCCCCTTCCGAGGGGTGTAAATTCTCGGCGACGACGCGACGGTTTACACGGCGGCTTATCACCGATTTTGGCGGCTCCCGGATGGGGTTGAAGCACGAAGGGAAAGAAGGATGGGCCGCGCCCTCCGGAAGCCAGGAATTATGGCATTGATTAACGCCTCTTCCATATAAAATCAGATAGATTTCGTCGCGATAGTCCAGACAGTCAAAATCGCGATTGCAATGGTCCAGAAAGCCGAAATCCCGACACCCATAACCCCAACATTGAAAATCCCGACAGCGAAAATCTAGGCAGCGAAAATCTCGACATCGTGAATCTCGACAGACCAAAATCCCGAAAGCAAAAATCCCGACAGTCATAGTCCAGAGCCAAGATCCCGAAACTCAAAATGCCTACATCGAAAAGCGCGACAGATCAAAGTCCCGGCAGCCAAACTCCCGACATATTCATCACGCTGTTAGAATGCGACCGCCTTCGTAAGCTCTATTTGCGTGTCGGGATTTCGGTCTTTCGGCATTATTGTTGTCAGGATTATGGCTTTCCGTATTTTCGCCATTCGGAATTTTGCATGTCGGGATTTTTGGTCTGTCGGTAATTTGGATGTCGGGATTTTTTACACTGTCCCTCCCGGTAAGTGTGTATCTGTGTTTTTCAACGTACTCTTAAACAACACCGCAATAGGCCAACATTTCTTTATTTCAATAACACTTTACATCGACGAGTTATTTATACCGGGATTTGTTGTCATGCGGAAAGATGCCCGTTTTTGTTGCTAGAGAGATCGAAGGATGCGGGAGGACAAATATAATTTACAGGGATTGTAAAAATTTAGATACTGTAGACTAAAGGGACTTGGAAGTCCGAAAAGTGGAAATCGTTGCGGGCTCAGGTTTGGATTCTAGTTCGATCCCGATTAACATTACAACAATTCAATTTAGAACTTTGGCGGTCCGTCCTTCACGTCAACAGCTCCAGGGTAGGACGGTGGAGGGCTGCTGCCGAATCGCTGAATTTCCAGGTCAATTCCCCACCTTAGCAAAGCTTCACCTTCGACTTGTTGGAGGCGCACAGCCGGCCGCACGTCAGCAGCACGATAAACTGTAAGAAAAAGATTTTTGCTGGTTTTACTGGTTTTAATGGGTTTCACCCACTCTTTCTTCAACAGCTAGCTAAATAGTCTAATTAACTCTCACCGCTCGCCAGAAGCAGGGGAAGCACACCAGGGCCAAGAAGCACATGACGACGGGCAGGTAGAGCACATAGTAGGTCTGGTAGCCGAGGAACTTCAGCCCGTACGTCATCAGCCACGAGCTGCCGCCCCCGCTCGAGCTCCCTGGAAAGATTCGATTTCTTGAAGCATTTGCAGGTGAACGTGTCGCGGGTGCGCTGCATGTTGTTTTCTCTCTCACTCTCTCTCACTTTATCTCTCTCTCACCTTATCTCTATCTCTTTCTCTCTCTCTCTCTCTCTCTCTCTCTCTCTCTCTTTCTCTCCCTGCCTCTGTCCCTCTCTCTCTCTCCCTCGCTTTTTGGCACTCTTTCCCTCTCTCTCTCTCTTTCTTTCTCTCTCTCGCGCTCTCTCTCGCTCTCTCCCTATCTGCTAACTCTCTCCGTAACGCATCCGCCACGCGTTATTTCGTGCTGTGTTAATTTGCTTGAACTTAAGGGTCGATTGCAGGGCTTAAAGGGGGCGTGACACAAACCAGGCGCGCTTTTTAGGCAACCCAGACGTGTGCAATAATAAATGTTATTCTTCTTAACCCTGAAATTTCAATTTTGCACCGATTTTAACTCATAAAAACATAAGATGCAGTCACATGCAGTTTTTGTGAGAACATAGGATTTTTCTGGAATTTTCCTCGTGCTTCTTTTTGTTACCTGGACCGCTGGGTAACTCGAGATCGAAATCGAAATGATCTGAATGAGGCGATAAGCGAGAGAGAGTGAGAGAGAAAGAGTGAGAGTGAGTGAGTGAGAGAGGGTGAGAGTGGGAAAGAGAGAGAGAGAGAGAGAGAGAGAGAGAGAGAGAAAGAATAATCAGGAAAAAGTGGTACTTGAAAAACAGGAGAAGCGATAGATTACCGGTGACCCAATTCATAATGCTGAGGAGCAGGTCCTGGAAGTTGGTCGTCATGAACGTCATCAGCGGAACGAGCGAAGTCGGCATGATCAGCACCTAGAATTAAAGGGTGTGTGTTAGAAAAGAAACGCGTGTTTGAGAGAGCCCGTGAGCACGACCGACCTGTGGAACCAATCCGTAGATGAGCGTCAGCCACATCTTCCCGATCGGGAATGCGCCCATCTGAAGATTTGATTTAGGCCGAGTCTCCCAAAGATCTCTGCTAGCCTGCCCTTCTTCAAACTGACCTCACGGTGTGCGTCCTTGCGCTTCCGGCAACAGAACGGGAGCGCGAGCGACAACACCAGGATGACGACCAGGTAGATGGTCATCAGCAACCACGATAGGATGGCGGTGATGGAGAACAGGGCCTCGACTGGGTCGTACCACCACGTGTACTCGGCCGGGTCGGCGATGAACTGCAAAATATCCATTTATAAGATCCTGGCACGATTTCTGAACTCCTAGCTGACGCCGTGGGGCACAGACTATTTTGGAGGAAATCTGCGGAACCTCATGCTGACGCTGTTATGACTCAATCTAAAATGCTGGCCATAACGAGCCTGCATGGTTATACAGTTGATATTTCAGATAAGTTTTTGACGGTAGTGCGCTGAACCCCTTGCTGACGCTGCTAAGGTTCAAGCCAGGATTCAGAAAGTAATGGCCGGAACTCCTTGATGACGTTTTTGACACTGGTGATTTGTTCAAGTCCTTTTTCCCGAACTTCTCGCTGACGTCGTTCTCACCTTAGCCCACCAGCAGAAGGCGATGATGGCATTTGGGAGCGGCAAGTAGAGGAACAGCCAAACGGCGTTGTAGACGATACCGTAGCGGGCCTTGGCTGCACACGCCCACATGATCGAAGTGACGATGGATTCGATGTAGAGGAGGCAGAGGCCTGAAAAGACGAGGTAGAGAAAGAGAGAGAGAGAGAGGGAGAGAGAGAGAGAGAGAGAACAACCCTGAAAAGTCGACGTGTTCATCTACTTTTAAGGGACTGATCCAGATAACTAACCACAGAATAAGGCTGCATAACAAACAAGTGGCCACGCCGTATTCACATCAGTCTCCAGGCCCAACCATCCAGCCCACGGCGAATGCGTGTTACCCTCAGTGCTTTGCACCTAAAAGAGCAGCTACACGACGCTACCCCTGACGCCTACCAGCTCCCAAATCATCCAGCACGTCACGTGCACCACTAGCCATCGCCGCACGTCGAGACTTCTGCAAATCCGTGAATTTTTAGGATAAATAACCTGAGTGTAAATAAAGCAGCTTAAAATTCTTATTAATTAAATTTTCAACGCGTTTAACCTTTCTTTAAATCTCCTATACCTCTACAAACACCTACCGTATCCCAACAAGTGTCAAATAGAGGAAAAGGATGAGTATCGGCGCCGAAATACCGTACACCACCCCGTACACCGGCTGCAACTCGTCGACGAAAGCTGAAAAACAACATTTTTTCGATTTTTCTGCAAATCCAGCTCCACCAGACTGTATTTGTCATTTTTGTTTTCACCCCCTGATTTTTGTAGACCAATGGGCGACCTTTATTCCGCCGAAAAACAGTTGATACCTCGGCTGAGGGCAGCTGGAAATTCGAGGTTGCCATGCCGGCCGGTTACTTTTTGCGTGTGCGCCTAATTGGCGCCCGAGCAGGTAGGGGACAATTGGTCGATAGTTGGAATTGCATACACACAGCTGATTTTGCTTAGATTTTCTTAAGAAACCAGAAAGCGACAAAGCGAGAGAGAGAGTGAGAGAGGAAGAGAGTGATAGCGATAGGGAACCACCGCAACGCACCCGCTACGACCTAGAGGGTGAAAGAGGATGACAGAGAGCGAGAGCCATCAGAAATAGAGAGGGCGGCAGCGAGAGAGAGCGAGATAGAGAGAGAGAGAGAGAGAGAGAGAGAGAGAGAGGAGAGAGGGAGAGAGAAAAGAGAGAGACGTAAAGAACCTTGATACAGAATATAGATTTTGCTAAAAACCTGTGTAATCGAATTTTAAAGTTTCGCAACATTTCTTGAACGCTCTCGGCTAGCCTTAAAATTTGCCCCAGAATCGCGACAAAATATCGATTTTGCTGACAAGTATTTCCAATATTATGGTGGTCTCGAAAAACACCTGTCCCCCCGACGGAGAATGCAGTTTTTGGTTACAACATTTATTTTAGCTCGTAATTTCAGGTACGCGCTACGGAAGCGCCTAATTACGCAAATGTCTCAGGCGCTAACGTAGTACCACGAGAACGTGCCATTCCAGCGAAATTCCACGAGGCCCGGCCCCAAAATGAGCATCTACCCACTGTGATTGGCCGCCTTGAACGATCTGGGGACGACGGTGCGCAACACGATTGGCGTCAAGATAATTGCCGCGATGAAAAACACGCCCAGCGCGGTCGCGCGCGCCGAGCAGCGCTTACGCGCTGGAGGCCCTCCTGGCGTCCCGGGCGTCGAGGGGAACGAGTCGGGCGGCAATACCATTGACAGCTTATCGAAAGGCACCGAATCCATGATCGGTTGTTACGGTAGCGAATGGGGCGCGCAATAGAAAATGGCCCCCATGTTTGGGGTACGGTACCCCAGGAAAAGCAGCTGCCTTTCAAAAAAAAACTAAAAAGCGCAGCCGTGCAGGTGTAAATTGGCCCCGAACGCGCACGCGGCGGGCACTTTTTAGAAACCATGCTCTCCCCATCAGCTGGAAATCACCCCCGGAGGAGCGGAGTGTAACGGAGGCGGACCCGGGGAGGGGTGTACGGTAGCTGGGGCAATCGATAGGCTGCAGGGGGTAATTTGAAGGTGGGAAATTGGTAATTTATGGGCTGGAAAATGAGTCGTCGGCAAGGCAAGGCTAACTTGCAGGGATTGAAGAGAAAAATTAAAGGGCATCTAGCAGGAAATCTTGCGGAAAAGTGCCGTAGCCCAAAAAATGCTATTTTTTGTGGTTGAATGGAAAATGGATGAAAAAATGAATCGAAAAAAAAGCGAATAGTCGTTCGGAAGGCGCGGTAAGCTAACAGATATTCTGAAAAAAATAAGGGCAATCTGGCAGAGATTCAGGAGGAAAACAGATGGTAATCTAGCAGAGATGCTGGAGGAAAATTTAAGGCGATCTAGTGGAGATTTACAAAACCTAAATCAAAGGATCTAGAAAACTAATTAGCAAATCTAGCAAATATTAGAAAATCGGGAAAATACAGTATCCAAAAAATATTTTTTTTTGGTTTTTAGACGCTTAAGTTATAATACAAACCTACAGTACCTTAATACCTAGCAAAGATCCTTGCGGAAAAACACGTTAGCCAGAATCCCTTGGACCAAAAATAAATTTTTCCGACTGGCTACAACTTACGCGCCGGCGTCCAACTTCTGGTGGTCATCGCTGTGGCTGTAGTTTGTACTTTGGCCGTGGTTACGGTAGTCGATAGTAAATCCCGTACGGTACTGCTTACAGTAGCGTCCCGGAATGTTGATGGGACTACGGTAGTCGTCATCGCCAATAGGGACCTTGTCGGAATCGATGGTGTTTTTGTAGTCATTATCTCGCGATCAATGCCCAAAAACGCGTAAATATCGGGCGTTGTGGGGTGTACTACGGAATCGCCGTCGTAGGTCAGCCCCGAGTTTCGGTGGGACATTCCCGGGGAGGACGGCCGTATTCTAGGAGGCAAAAAGTAGAAGCGAAAGGAACGGAGAGGGAAACAAGAATTTTAAGGGTTGAGAAATTTTTGACTCCGTAATGACTTTAAAATGCATATTTATATAGCACGCATAAAAACGGAATTTAAGGCATAAACAGTGAGGATCTTTTGCATTATCGGGGGGCTAAGTGTCGTAACTGTCGAAAATAGAGAAAGTATCTTGAGCAGGGGCGTAGCTAGAGCCAAATTTCGGGGGGGGCCCCGAAAAATTTTGGCGACCTCCCCCGGTCACCACTTTCAAAAGATTCAAAAATCGCAGCTATAACAGCGCCGCAGGCCGCAAAAAATAAGGAAAAAGCGTTAGCAACGCTCAAATTCATGTAAAAACATCACAGAAAACGCGCCGCAGGCGAAAATTTTATATGGACAGTTGACACACTAATGGAAAACAGCGCCGCAGGCAAAAAAAAATTTGGAAAAATAGGCTTCAAAGAAGTAAAAACCGTCTTAAAAACAGTAATAAACAGCGCCGCAGGCAGAAAAATTTTATTGAAAAATCATAAGGGTCCCCCTTTTTTGAGCCGATTTTGGGGGGCAACTTGCCCTGTTGCCCCCTCGTACGCCCCTGGCCGGGCCGGGGCCGGCGCCTGGGCCGGGGCCTGGGCCGGGGCCGGGGCCTGGGGGGCCGGCGCCTGGGCCGGGGCCTGGGCCGGGGCCTGGGCCGGGGCCGGGGCCGGGGCCTGGGCCGGGGCCGGGGCCAGGGGCCGACGCCTGGGCCGGGGCCGGGGCCGGGGCCTGGGCCGGGGCCGGGGCCGGCGCCTGGGCCGGGGCCTGGGCCGGGGCCGGGGCCGGAGCCGCTTGCCAGGAGTCACATTCTTAAACTTGTCATTTTTTATTATGTTTCCAGCCGTTTCTTTTATGGAAACATCGAGAACATCGATAAAAATCAAAAAAATTTTCGAAAAAATAGCCATTTTTTTTCGGCCTTCGGCCGATTTCGGGGGGGGCACCGGGCCCAGGGGGCCCACCTTACGCTACGTCCCTGATCTTGAGTATTAATAAACGTAACAATTTACTGAGTTATATTGTAATTAAACAAATTTAAGGTTTTTAGACCATAAATCCCGATTTTCGACAACACTTTCAAATTTCAATAGAATTTGTAAAAGTTTTACCTAGCTAAAATGCAAGTAAATTCTATTACAACGGCTTTAAATCTCGCCCCCCCGATAAGGAAGAAGAACCCCAAATTACACGAAGGTTACACGATGATTCTAAAATATGCAAATTCCTTTGGATGGAGCTAGGGAGGGCTCGGAGGCTTAATTTTGATTTCTAGCAAAAAACATTTAAACAAAAATTATTTGAAAATTACCATAAATTGGAATGAAATCTCGTAAATGACTAATATTTCGATTCAGCTGATCCTCGAATCGTGGGGGTACAAAAAAATTATAGCCCAACGGCCGCTTGAGACCCCGGGGGCCGTCATAGAAACCAAAATTACTGCCGATTAGTAGGGTCGAGAACAGAGACAGACAGCCCATAGCCCGGGGGTCCCGCAGGGAAAAGCACAGGAAATTGAGTAAATTTCGGGCGTTGAGGCTAAGAATTCCTTCGGGCCCCAATTTACACCCTCGACCGCGGGCGCCACCGGTAATTTGTAGCGCCCCGGAATTTTGTGATTTCCGATTGGCGGGCGACGGGTTTTTGTTCGGTGAATTTCACAGGAATTCGCTAAAATTTGGTAACTCGGATACTGTAATCTACTCTACAACAAAATTCCACCAAAAATTTTCAAAGTAGGAAAAGACATTTTGCAAATTAGGCGGCTGAATTCAAAATTTCCACAATTACCATTTTTTGAAATGTAAAAGTCGTAATAAATGGTGGTTTTGCAGCAAAAATTGGATACGGTAATGGGCTGAAAAATCTCTTCTCATCTACTAAACTCCAACCTCAAAATATAGCATCACTTTCAAGGCCTAGTTCACTTACCGTAACCCCGCGGTTTTTATCATTTTTGTATAGTTCAAAAATTTTTCAAATTTTTGGAAGGACGTACTGTAATCGCCATATCCACTGTAGGCGCCCCCGTAGCTGTATCCGCCGTACGCCGAGTAGTCGTTTGTGGTCTTCTTCTTCTTCGAGTCGGCCTCACCGGCAAGGGCGGCGAGGAGAAGGAGGACGAGCACCCAGCCGAGGCGTCGTCGCATCTACTCGCGATTTTGATGTTGAAAACCGATCGAAATTTGCATAAAAGTGGCCTTAACATCCTCGAAAAGTTGTAATCTTTGATGCACCTTTAAATGGACTTGCAAGTCGCAAATTCATAAGCGACCACTCACCTTAAGCTTTAGCCTAAGTCTTGGCTTTTTACTACTGGCTTTTATTTTATTAGCGTAATCCTATGTTTAAACCTATCGCTAAGCCTATGGCTAGGCCTAAACGTAACCCAAATCCAAGCCTAAGCCTAATCCTAAGCCAAGCCTAAGCCTCAGCCTAAGCCCAAGCCAAAGCCTAATCCTAAGCCCAAGTCCAAGCCCAAACCTAGGCCCAAGCCTAAGCCTGCCTATGTCTAAGCCTATTCCTAAGCCTATGGCTAAGCCAAGTCTAAGCCTAAGCTCAGCCTAAGCCTCAAGCTCGCCTCCCAATTGTCCAAGATAATTTGATTTTTTAAGAGGCTTTCACGGAAATCACGAAATCCTTCCAAATTCCCAAAAATCGTTGCTAGCTAGCCCGGGTGAAATTCCAGCTATTTCAAAAAGTGCAATTCAGACAATTTCTTCACATCCCAGTCCCTTTAGTAAATATTATAATTGTCAAAATTTATGCAAAACAGCGCTAAAACCGAAAAAAACAGCGTTGATGAAATTTCCGGGTTGTCAACGTAATGGTTGGACGGGATAGAAGGAATGGCTACCGTAACCCCAAGCGAGATTCACCTGTCATGACAGGTGCCCCGACATCTCGACCGTCCCCCCAAAATCCAATTAGAAACATCGATTCCATTTTTTGTGTGCCTCGCACAAGGTTGGCATTTGTTGAGTAAGTGAGGGGAAATAGTCAGAAAACAGAGGGTTATTTGCTGCTATTAAAGGGAGTGTGACGGGCGGCGAAAAGGTAATGTAAAATTTCATAACGTCGAAATTTCGTAATGTCGAAATTCAGTATGTCGATTTTTTTTTGCTTAGGATTCGGGGTATCGAGTTGCGACGTTATTATTTTAGACATTATGATGGGAAATCTTTCGACGAAACCGGCCCGGTTAAGCGGAAATATGACGTCAAGCTACGTACGTCACCAGCCAGTTCAAGCTGAATCTGAGGGGCGGGTTAGCAGAGGTTCTTTGGGAACCATCCGTAAATCTGGTTTTTGAAATAATTTTTATGTTTTGAATCTTGCAGTCGACTAGACAGGCTAGCAGCGATTCTTTGGGAATTACCGACTACACTACACACCGCTCCTGACTACGGTATCGTATCGTACATGGTTTGTGCTTTCAATCTGTCTCTCTGCCTGCCTGCACCTCCCTTTACAACGTCGAACAAATATTCCGCCTTTCCGTTGAAAGGAGCCGCGCGTAGGGCCATTCTCGGATCTCCTGCTCCTTTTCGGACAACGACAATATGCTAAATTCGGGCAACCAGGCTATGAGTCATGTTCTGTTTGTTCTGATCACCTGGAATTCGCCGGAGATGAAATTCCGAGTCGCGCACCATTGAGTTTTGATGTGATTTTCCGGATATGTTCTCTATTTTTTTAAGATTGTCGCTTCTTTTAAGGGGCCGGGCCAGGTTGCGTCCACCCCACAAAAACCTGACAGGCCAGAATCTCGACAGTCAAAATGCCGACAGGCCAAGATTCCGGCAGCTAGAATCCCGACAGCCGAAATGCCGACATACATCCCGACATATTTTTGACGCAGTTTTACCATTTTCCTTTACACATATATTTTGTATGTCGGGATTTTGGCTATCGAGATTTTGGCCTGTCGTGATTTTGGCAGTCGAAATTTTGGTTGTCGGGATTTTGGCTTTCCAGTTTTTGGCTATCGGGATTTTGAGTCTCGGGGTTCTGGCTATCGGGATTTTAGCTGCGTGCGTGGAAAATCCGTTGCGAAAGCATAGCCATAGCTTTCACTCCCTTTAAAGGTGTCGAAAAACTCATTTTTAGCTCAAATCCGGTCTTAATAGAGTTGTTTCAACAAATTCCATGACTTTCCACTTAGACGCGTGTACATTTTCATGGTGCTTTTGGCCCCGGTACACCCCCCGGCTGGCCCACCGCCTTATCAGCAGACCCCGGGCATGAGGCGAGGGAAGGGTTTGATAAAGCCGAACTAGTCATCACTTCCTCTCTTCTTCTCCCTCTTCTACTTTCTCTCCTTTTCCATCTTTCCACCCCAACGCCCCCCGATTTCTGACAGCCACCCCCGGTCTCTTCCCTAAAAGGCACTATATAACGTGTAAACACTATCCAGCTTTGACCCCGCGCTGTCAAACAGCCAGCGCCGATGTGCCCGGCGCGCTTTTGATCTGTCCCTCATACTTTTGATCTTAAGCATGTGGGCCTAAAATTAATTTCTATAAAATGAAACCGTCTAAACAATTTAAACTTAGTTTTTACAAAAAATTATTAAACATCTAACCTAGAAAATACGTAATTTCAAAATCATCTTTTTCTAATTTCCAACACATCCTAAAAACTCTATCTGAAAGACTTTGCAAAACTTCCTTTGTTTAAATTTTTCTATTAGTCTAACGTTGCGTTTAACTAAAAAACATTTAGAACTCAAACCCCCGAAAAATACGCTATTTTCGTCTTTAAAAATCTAACCTTTCAACTTTATTACAAAGGAAACTGGCCCTCAAAGTCTATCTTATAGCTCAAGCCCCTCGAAATCACGTAATTTCGTTCTAATTTAATTTCCGAATAACAAAACTCTCTTCAGCCTAACACTCAACTTTTCAGAGTCCACCATGAAAAACCTCGTGCTCCTCGCCGCGCTCCTGGCAGGTGCGTTTTTGTAGGACGATTTTCTAGAGAAAATCGGACCATCGAAACACCGAAACATCTTGAGCGGCCAGTAAAATATTAATGACAACAAATTTAGCCATGCTCCTCGTGTCCGAGGCCAGGAATCGCCGTCAAATCGGCCAGGGCACCGGCGTCTACCAGAATAATGGTAGGGGTGGAAGATGTTATAGAAGAGTGAAATAAATCTGCTTAAAAATTATAATAACCTCAAAACTTATTTGTTCAAAAATAAATCAACAAAACTTATTTGTTATTTAAGGAATTGGCGGAGGCGCGCAACCGGGATGGAACAATGGCGGTATTGGAGGTGGAGCTGGTAAGTTTCTGAAATTAAAAAACTAGAGAAAACAGTAAGTATAATTAAAAACAAAGATTCTTACGCTACGCTCCCTTGCCCGTAATAACGCCCTCTTATTCCTGATAGCGCGACGCACCCGCTGCGTTGAGACGGACATTCGAGAGCGCGTCCTAAAAATAGCTGCAAAAACCTGAATAAAAATCTTGTTCCAATTTCAGGATACAACAACGGAGGCATTGGCGGTGGTGTGCAGCCCAACGGCTACAGCGACCCCTACAAGAACACGCAAGGTTTGTAAAATTAAGCAAAAAAACCTAGTCTTTGTAAAAGCACTTTTAAACTCTTAAACGCAAGTTTTAAAGCAGCTAGGTTTTTTCAGTCTCCCTAAGCATAGACCTATTGATCTAAACTTTCTAAAGCATGCAACTACCCCCCGACCCCACGCTCACCCCCCATCCCCCCACCTCCCGGTTTTCAGGCCAACATAAGCACAACCACAACCACGGCCACAAGCACCACCACGGCAAACGCCACCTGCACAGCCGCCTTCACGAGACCCAGTAGAAGCCGAAAAACTCGAGAAAAAAATGCTTTGCACATCGCCCCCCTTCTTCACCTTTGTATATGCACCGATTTCACCTGATAAAGCTTACCCTAAAATACCACGACCACGTCAAAAGCATGAAGAAGCTGTAAACATCTCAGGAGGAGCCCGAGCTATTCAAAAGACACTTCACGCGAAGGAGGCCTGCAGTCTCGCCTCGCTTTTCCATTTGGCTGTCCCCATCGTTGTATTGTGCTTCAAATCTGAAGGAAAATGTGAAAATCTAAATTTGAAGAAAAAAAATCTCGAAGGCCTTGAAAATATAATAACAACCTTACTATAACGATCAATAACTATTAAAATAAAATTACATCAGGAAATAAATTGACGTCGGCATCCTATGATGCTGATGTCGTCCCAAAAACCTAAATTCCGAAAACAAAAGGCTTAGGAAGAAGTAATACTCTAAACCTAGCGATTAACATCGTCAAAAATTTTAGGCCTAACTTGCCAAGCCTGTGATGGTCCTGCTTGCGCCTACTCGCAGATGGAGGCTCGCTGTGATCCGACGAACCGTTGCTATACGCTGTACCGAGCTGACGGAACAGGTAGGCTAAACCTAAACCCTCGCTATATAGCCATTTTTTTAGTACAAAGAAAGGGCTGCACCCGTAACTGCCAAGGGGAAACGGCCGGAATTTACAACGGACGATGCGACGAGTGCTTCCACAGCCTTTGCAATCGTAAGTCGACCTTGGAATACCAGAAAGGCCGTGATTTCTAGGTGACGCCGGCCGCAGCAATATTGGCGGTGGTGCCGTCGCAAATTCGCAGCGTAAGTTTCGAAACTTTCGTCAGTTTCCTTTTGCCCAACCTAAAGACCATTAAAACCATCAAATATCTTTTCAGCCTATCAAAACAACGGAAACTCGGGCATCGGCGGCGGCGCCTACCCTAAACACCATCACCCGTGGGGCGCCGGCAGCATCCCAACGATTTTCGGCTCGCTTTTGGTGCTAATCGCGCGGCTCTTGTAACGACTCATTTGGTCCACTTCTAATCTTTATAAATAAATATTTATTTACAATACATTATGAACAAAAACTGTAAAATTCGAAGCTTTAACAACAATGCTAACGGTAAGCCGGCGGACAATCATTTGCGCTCAGAAATACGGCGCTTCCTCGTGACAATGTAGCCGGAGTTCACGTGGAAAAGGCCTCTCGCGGGCGGACGGGCGCTTCTGATATCCGATGAATTTTGTCGTACTTCCTGGCACCTGGAAAAACGGAATTTAATTAAATCTTTAAAAAGACGAAAATAAGCAAGGAAAATTACCTGGATAACGACGTCCGTTTCGCGAACCCGGATCTCCACCAGCTCGCCGTCCGTCCGGACGAACTGCACGCGGCTTTTCCCCTCAGACTCAGCCAGCATTTCGTACTTCTCCAGGAGTCCTTTTAGGTGGTCTCGTTTGGGCGTTTCTTCGCCAAAAGCATCAAGGCCACCTACACGCCAATGCGCCCAAATCGTCTCAATGTCGCGCTCACCAGCCAGCCACTCTTCCACATAATGAATGAGCAGGTCCACGAAATTATCGTCCGGGTTCGGAACGTAAAAGGCCAGGCGTCCGGTCCGCAACAGCTTCATGTGAGCGAAATCCTCCGCTTTCGCAACGCCTCCAATGCGCAGGGAGCCTCGGAGAGGGCCCAGCCAGCGTTCCACATTCAAATACCTTGCGGTCCAAACGTTCGTCGGGTTGCGCAGCGTGATATCCCAAATGAGGTTGTCGTCGAGTAGCGCGTCGCACTTCCAATTGTAGTCGACGAAATTCTCGCACCAAAAATTGAGCTCACACTTGATGCGCTTACGCCAATCTCGATGTCGGACGAAAAACTCGAGGCGTCGACCATCTAGCAAGGCAGGGTCCTTGGTCTGGCAATTCTGCTCGCGCTGGCCAGCGATGAATTTGTGTCGTTTTTCGGCGATAACTGGGGCGCAGCGAGCGTAGTTGACCGGATACTTGGCACACGCGGCTTTCAGACGGGGATTGAGGTTGTCCAAGTTCATGACGGTGAGGTAGTCCAAAGGGTCGACGATCATCACCAGCAATTCGAGCGGCAGATCCACGAATCCGCGCTTTCTGCACGGGCCATAGCCGTCCTTGTCGGCCATTCGGCTCGCTGCCAGCAGCCGGTCTGCATCGGCATTGTAGTTGATCTCTTGTAGCGCCGGCATGAATTCGCGCAATCGAAACGGGTCCTGCTTTTCGTCGGTCTTCATCTTCGGGCCTGAAAAAGCACATTTTGATATGGATAAAAAATAATAAGATAATAAAGCACAAGGTAAGCTAAAGCGTAAAAAACGGTAAAAAAGCTAAAAGTTTTGAAAAAATCGATGCTGCGCGATGCTTCGATCGATCGAAGCTTCGCAAGCATTCCAACAGCCACTTCGGACAAAATGTTGTCTAAGGGAGCCTTCGTACTATTTTTTCTTTTCTCACTTTTCCGTAATTACGGATTGGATTTTACGTAAAATTTCTCGAAAAATTATAGTAAAGCTTCTCCTTCAAAATTATGCTATGCTGCTTTGATCCTATTTTGCTTGATTTCAGCGTCCGTGCGCCCGTTGAAAAGTTCAATGCATGTAGACTTCGACCACGCTCCTGAACATCTAGAAAACTCCCTTTTTGCAAATGTTCGGTCTTGAAAACTCCAATTTTCACCCCAAAAATACCACAATTTTATGATCCATTTTGTTTCTTTATGTTGGTATTTTATCTCTTCGCTTTATCAACCTTTCTGGGTTTTATGATTCATTATCCCCCATTCGGCATCACTTCCGGCGCACCGGCCGATTGTCAGGGGTTGACCAGTTTCAGATTTCCGGGCCTAGTCGAGGAAAAATCAATGTTAGCCCTTACGAGATAATAATATTTTTGTGTCGTCGGAGCTGGGGCTTATCGCGGGCAAGGTGAGGCCGGAGGCTTTTGGGGGAGCATTGCCGCAGATACACTCGCATCGCACAACACGCTTGTTGACATGTTGCGCTACGGTCTGGTGCTGCTGCTCGCCTTTTCGACGGGTTAGTTTAAGAGTGTTCAATAGACTTTTTGGCCTAAAAATCTCCGTATTAACAATAGCAAACTATAGCTTTTTGAGCTGTTTCGAATTTTGGGAGTAGTTTGGGCCTTTTTAAAGTAATTTCACTTTGTTTCAGCTTTTTCCCTACAATGCTTCACGTGCGACGAGGAGACGTGCTCGGCAGAAGATCGCGTTGAGGGCTGTGACCCGTCCACCAAATGCTATACGCTGACCACGAAGGATGGGCTTGGTCAGTGAAAAGAAACGTTTTAAAATTGGCTAAACCTTATAGTATCGTTTTAGTAAAGTTATATACATCTTTTTATTCACGTTTCAGTGATTCGCAAGGGTTGCACAACCGATTGCAGCCGAGAGGCGTCGTCTGCTGGCGGCCTAGCCTGCTCGACGTGTGATGGAGAATTGTGTAACCGCGCTCGTAGTATGTTTTAAAACAGTTATTTTTGTACTAAAAGCTTTGTAGGTTAGAAATACACCAAAAAGTGAGGTTTTTCACGCCAAACCCTTCAAATTTTTAATCCATTTTTAGATACCAGTCATTTTTGTGAAAACCAATTAGTTTTGGACTATAGTCAAGCTGTTAGTATAAAGTGCTTCTTCTTACGGCTTATTAGGTTTACTTTTACTTCATCCAAACAAACAACCCAGTTTTTGCAGACGAGCAGCGCACACAAATCGGTGGTGGCGCCGAGCCGGCTCCTCCAGTCCCATGTAAGTTTTTCAAGGTCGAATTTGAGCTAGTCGATTATCGGGCCGGATTATTTATAGTTTCACTTATAGTTGATAGTTTAAAGATTCATTTGATAAGCTTAAAGATCTTTAAAAACGTATTTTCAGCGATCGGTGGCGGAGCCGTTCCAACGCCCAAATCGGCTTCTCAAACTTCGTTGGCTCTGCTGATGGGCGCCGTCATTGCTCGGATCTTCTAAATTTTTAGGGGATAGTAATTAATTATTGGCATTTTTTAAAAGAATAAATCTGAACTAAAGACTAAATGTAAAGAGATGAAGAGCTCTCTCTCTTTCTCTCTCTCGCTCTCTCTCGTTCACTCTCGCTCTCGCTCTTTATCTCTCTCTCGCACTCACTCCCTCTATCCATCTTTAGGACGCTCTTCTCTCTCTTTCTCTCTTTCTCTCTCTCTCTCTCTCTCTCTCTCTCTCTCTCTCTCTCTCTCGCTCTCTCTCTCCGTCTCCGTCTCTCTTTCCGCCTCTCACTCTCGCCCTTCCACATCTCTTTAAAAAGATATTGGCAAAAGAAAAGGGCGACTACATACTCATTTCGAGGGGCTGATTAGCAAGGACGCACCGACAGACCGACAAACATACAGAAAGCGAATGGCCTCTCGTTGATTCAATTTAGGTCCCGGCAGTAAATTGGGCAAAGATGTTGGCCTCGCCGGGGGTCCTTCGCTTCGGGACCATCCCCGGCTCTGCCATTTCGGCCCCCGCCGTAGGCAAAAAATTACAGCTTTTACAGGGGGCGGAAGTAGCACGACTGTAATTACCCGCTATTAAATGGTATTTTTTGTGCAATAATAAGTGCTTTAAAATGTTGAAGAACTGCAGCAGCAAAAAGTGCCGCGAAACCGGGAAATGAACATGGTAGTGCAAAAGAAATTCGGTGCAAGTTTGCTACATTTTCGGTACTGGCCTGTTATCGGGGGTTAAGCTGTGGAAAATTTTCCCATTAATAGACCGTATACCGAAATTTTACACAATTTTATGACATGAAAAAGACTTGGAGAATTACAAAAATGTAGGAAAAATGGCCAGAAATGACCAAAAAGTTTTGAAAAAATATTTAAGATGTTTTTTCGTAAATTCCTGTCAACCAAAACCGCTAAAAAGACTATAAAAATACACGATATTGAATTGTTTGATAAGTAGCGACGGAAAAACAAAAATTAGCTAGCTCGGCAGGCCCCTTCCCCCCCCCCGCTAAGCGTCCAGTACCAATTTTTTGGGCTCAATGAGGCTTATTCCTAGGCCTTTTGGCTCCATTTGGGCTTCGGGTTAAATGGCTTAGGCTTAGACTTGGGTTAGGCTTAGACGTGGACTTAGGCTTAGCCTCGGGCACGCTCCCTTCATCGCAAAAAAAACAAGCACTCCTTCTTGGCCAAAGCCTCGCCGGAGTTGAGTTAATTGCGGAAATCGCGCAGCCCTCAATGCCCTCTTCTTTTGTCCTTTTTGTGCGCTGCGAAACTCTGCCTACCCCGAGTCCAAGTCGCTCGCCTTGGCACGCTCGACACGAATAAAACGGCCATTTGCCTAATTTTGTGGGGTAGAAGGAGGCTGTAGAGAGGAGTGGCTCGGAATAGCATGTTCTGTTGGTCCCATTTTTAAAGGGACCAGAAAAAGGGTAGGTTCTCGATCCGTCTCTCTCTCTCTCTCTCTCTCTATCTCTCTCCCTCTCTACCTTCTGCTCTCACTATCTTCGAAACGCCCTCTAGCTCTACCTCGTGCTTGTCCTATCTATGCCTCATGCTCCCTATCACCTTCTCTCGCTATATCTCTATCTCAGGATTTCTCTACTCCTGCGCTCATCATACCTCAATCTCGTGCTCGCTCTCCATCTCCTGCTCTCGCTATATCTCTATCTCGTGCTCTCGATTTCGTGCTCTCTTTCTAGTTCTGTCGCTTGCTCGTGCTCGCTACACCACGCTTCACTACACCCAGCACATGCCCACAGTAGAATCCTGTGACTTCTAGGTACCAAATGTCGCTATTTCCAGCTGTCACTCCCACTTTAACTCGGCATCAGCCTCAAAATGTGTTACTGTACCCGGCTTCCTAAAGTTCCTTTAACTTTCTACCCTCCAAAGTATCCATCCATCCTGCTGTGGGTGAGAGCAGAGATAAATTGGTCCACCTCGCCCTCCCGATCTTCGAGGCGCGTGTGCGTCTTCATCTGGGATGCATGGAAATGGGCCTCCCTCCCCTTTTCGGCCATACCCTTAGGGCATTCGACTAGCTGGTCTCGGCTTCTCCGACTCCTTCTCCTTCTCTTGCTCCTTCTCCATCTCATTCTCTTTCTCATTCTCCTTCTCCTTCTCCTCGACAACATCTCATTAGGGGCCAATCGTCCGGTGCGGGACCCATTGCCTCTTCACTCCCTCTCACCCCCTTTTGCACTAACAAGCTTAATGCCCTGTCTTGTCTTGTTTTTGTTCCTTCGGAATGTGTTTTTTTCATTTGACAAAGAGTATTAGACTAGAATCAAGTTTTGGCTCGCTAGACTAATTTTTCAAAAGTCACAAGAACTTTGCCGGGTTTTTGGTGACGGTGGATTACGGTGGATCGGCAGGAATGCTACGTTACGATATGATGCGACTACGATGCGCTACGGTACGAAACGCTATGATACGATATATCGTACGTACGGTGCGATACGGTACGGTACGATGCGCTACGACACGATACGATACGATACGCGACGCCACGCTACGCTACGACGCGCTTCGATGCGAACCGCTATGATACGAAACGTGATACGTTTGGCTTCGAACTCCTACGAGATGAAACGCCTTGCCACGAAACGCTACGATACAATACGCCACAAGGCGCCTCGGTACGGTACGCTATGATACACTGCGACACGGTACGATACGAGACGCTACGATGCGATGCGATACGCTACGATGCGATGCGATACGCTACGATGCGCTTCAGTGCGAAACGCTTTTATACGCTACGACACGATACGCTACGATACGAAACGCTATGATTCGCTCCGTGAACTTTATGCTGCGCTACGGTATTATATAATTACGCTAGTGCTGGAGGGAAGGCCAGACAGAGAGAGAAATAAAGAGAGAGCGAGAGAGAGAGAGAGAGAGAGAGAGAGAGAGATCGAAAACAAGCTATATTACCCCCATTTCCGTATCTGCCTATGCTTTCACGATTTTCCGAGCATCAAACAAGGTGTTGACAAGTGGGTCCAAAGCTCCTGTCAGAAAATCCCGTGCCCTCATGGCCCTTACCCCCCCCCGGAGGGCTGTACATAGGTGTGTAGTGTACAGCTGCGTGTGTGTGCCGCCCCAGCCTCATCCATCCCGGCCACCAAAAAGCCCTCAGGTCACCAACATCGGGCCCTACGGCTTTTCCTCTCCTCGCCCAACCTCGGCCCAAAAACCTGTTGAAATGTGGCCCCATTCGCCTGGCCCCTTCTCGGGTCCCGCCGCGCCCCCATTTTTCTTCATAATAACCCCGGGGCGTCACGATTTTTATGTGCATATGGGGTGTACGGGAACATACGGTTGAGACTAGGCACATTGCCGTGTTACGTACATAAATACGTAATTTTTTACAAAAAAAAGTGCCAGAACCCTTGTTTTTACAGATTTTAATGACATTTCGATATATCACCTTCTCTATGCCGATCTCCCCCTTATGTCGCTCTCTCTCTCGTTATGTCTCTCTCCCCCCTCTCTCTCGCTCTCTCGGTATGTCTCTCTCCCCCCTCTCTCTCTGCCCCTCTCTTTCTCTCTCGCTTTCTGGCTCTATTTTCCCTCTTTCACGCTTACTCTCTCTCTCTCTCTCTCTCTCTCTCTCTCTCTCTCTCTCTCTCTCTCTCTCTCTCTCTCTCTCTCTCTCTCTCTCTCTCTCTCTTGCTCTCTCGCTCTCTCGCTTTCTCTCTGTCTCTATCTTCCTCTCTTTCTCTCGCTCTCTCTCTGCCAACTTTTCAGCGATTAGGCAAAACTTTAAGCCCGAATCGACCCTGGATTCCCTCGGCATCAGCTCCTCAATTTCCGGCTTACGAGTCGCACTCCCGAGGGCCAAGCATCCCCTCGTGGGGCGATAATCCATCCGCCTCCGAATTCCCATCATTACCCAACCATCCTGCCCCTCCAAAAACCCTCCCACTGGAGCAGGACCGAAGTTCATCCCAGTTCCCAGTCCACCCTCCTTCCGCAACACAATTTCGTCCTAGCGCTCGCCGGGAATCCTCATTTCTGTGCCCTGCAGCGAAAGACCTTAAATATTTCGGGTTTTTTTGCAATTGTAAAGTGGGGAGATCTTGGGTTACAGCCAAGTCAGAGCTTTAGACTAAACCTAACAAGGGAACCTCACGCGGACAGGGTGGAATTTCGAAAAACGCTCGCGGCTACCCCTAGGTAATCGACCATTGCGATCACGATGCGCTTGTCAAATTTTTCTGAATGCACCTGTGGACAGAGATACAGCACTTCCGGAAAATGATGATTTGCATGCGAAAAATTAGCATCGAGGGATGGTTTATTAGGCTCTCCCATCACTATGGAATCACCAGTTGAATGACCGAGTGGTAAGCAACTCGCTTGATAGGATACTGACGAAGGTTCGGATCCGCTCAGGATTTTTTATTTTGCCTTTTTGGGCCAGAAATTTTCGCACAAGTCCAGACCACCGTAAATGTATCAGACCCAAATCTTTGATGTCTATTTTTGCAGACCAGGGGTACCGTTCTAGAATTTTCTGGTGCAGTCGATCAGACAGGATTCTTAAAGAACAACCAATTGGTTGTTTTTTGTCTGCCAAAGATGCATGGCCGTCCGCATCGAATTCGGGACCCCATGGTTTCGAAAAATTGCAAAAAACCGGGGACATCCTGGGTAAAGATTGGGTTTCATCAATTTTGGCGATGTTCTGGACTTGTGCAAAAATCTCTGGCCCAAAAAAGCAAAATGAAAAATTGCGAGTGGATCCGAACCCTCGTCAGTATCCTATCAAGCGAGTTGCTTACCACTCGGTCATTCAACTGGTGATTCCATAGTGATGGGAGAGCCTAATAAACCATCCCTCGATGCTAATTTTTCGCATGCAAATCATCATTTTCCGGAAGTGCTGTATCTCTGTCCACAGGTGCATTCAGAAAAATCTGACAAGCGCATCGTGATCGCAATGGTCGATTACCTAGGGGTAGCCGCGAGCGTTTTTCGAAATTCCAC